TTGGAGATGAGATTGTAGAAGAACTATTTGAAGACTATGTTAAAGCATATGCCGAAAATCTTAACGTATTTCAGGAAAGTGATACCAAAATCAATTCAACTCTTGTCACTGTTCTAAAGCGCATTTAATATTATTGATTACTTTATTATTAAAATTACAATCTTATTATTGTAATTGTCATATGATTTAAGTAATAAAACTTAATAAAGTTCAAACTTATTTAATTTGTTAAGCTTTTAATATGTGCACTACGTATTTAAAAGACATAACTTATACTGTTAAATATCTTAGTATATAATTAAATGTTTCAGGATATCTGATTCGCATCTTAAATAATTTATTTATCATATTATCTTGTCAGAATTATACCATGATATGTCTAAGAATTAGAAGACTCTTATGTACTACATTTGTCTTTTCAGAAAAGATGAACATCCATTCAATCAAATATGAATATAAAGATCACTTGAAATCAAAAGAACCACAAAAAAGTAAGCTTAAGCTCCCTAATAAAGTAATATTCAATTGGATTGTGCAGAGTCCATTTACAGTCTTAACAATTCAATTATCAGAAACAAAAAAAAAAACTAGTACATAAATATAGTTCTATACATACATACAGAACATCAAAATATTATATTAATGAGGGTCCACTTCCTTTTCTTTGGTTGATCAACCTGATATTTAACAATTTCAGCTTTATTAGTGCCCGAGAAAGAGGTTAGTGTATAAAGTAGACAAATAAGGGGATGAAGGTTCTCTTGTGTTAAACTTCTTTCTAGATTTATACATTTATAAGGCACACCATTAATAAAAAACTCATAGGAAGTAGCAGCGATGCATTGCGTGATTAGGTTAATTTCCTGCATAGAGAAGCAACATTTTCCAAAATCTACTTTAAGAATGACCGTTCAACTCGATCAAATGCTTTTTTCTTATATCATACTTGCCTGTAATCTAGCCTCGTTTCCTTGGTTTCTTTCTCATTGAAGGGAACCAGCTCATGAGCATTGATCCCATTGTCCTGGATACAACAACCCTTAACAAAAGCAACTTGTATAGGTGGGATAATTTTTTGCGCCAAGGTCCTTAGTCTAATAGCCAAACTTTTAGACAAAGTCTTATAGATAATATTGCATAAAGAAATAGGCCTAAAATGTTGGGTTTTATTTGTACCCTCACACAAGGCACGAACACAATATTGGTTTAGTCAAATTGCAACCAAACTTGAAAAATTGGTGAACTATTCCCACAACATCCTTACTTCCATAATATCCTCATTTGCGATGTTCCATTAGACCTTGTAAGTTTTCGTTAATGGACTATTCCCGCAACATCCTTACTTTCATAACATCCTTATATATGATGTTTCAGTAGACATCGTAAGTTTACGTTAAATAGCAAATGTTGTATTTTTAAAATATTTTTTGTCGAAACAAAAAAAAAAGAAAGTTGTTTCATAATTTTTGAAACCCAATTGCTACATAATTAATTGATCGTTTGAGATTTACGTTACTAATTTCTGATAAATTTTATTATAAAAAGAAGACCATGTTCTTTAATTTCCGCGAAGACATACACATATATTATAATATTATTCCAGCCACGCACTTGGTCAAATTTGGTATACGAGAAGCGAGAAGGATCAAAGTCTAGTTTTCAATTGAATTTTTTTCGCTCCAGCAGGATAAACAATTCAGTATTCTTGCAGAATTTTTGGTCGCATGTCAAACGATGCTCGGCCAGCTTGTGACAGAAATTTTCAAATAAATTATCCATATTAATCATATTTCCAAAGTGGTCGTTGATGATTCCTTCCATAACAGCTCTTATTTGAGAGAAAACAGTTTCGACAGTCTGTAATTCGAAGCTCCATGGATTGTTCAAAATCTCCATTTTCTCGTTCTTAAAATATTCATTTTCGTCTATCAACTCCTTCAACTCGCTAACATGAGGGAAATACGAAGACAGGTTGAACGAATCCACTTTGTCTTCTTCGATTAGTCCCTGTTCATAATAAAACGAATTCTTTCAGTTTCACTCGAAGGAGATTTTTTTGAATCTTCATTTTTTTTCTAGTAAGCTGTTTATTCTCATGTAATCAAACTATATATACACGAATATATATAATCTTCAAATAAATTCTTAAAATATTGATTATTTTTTCTTACCAGCTTAGCCATGTCGTAGAGGCAAGAAGCAAGGAGATCATGATGCATGCCCATCACAGTTTGAGACATAAGCACACCATCTGGTAAAGCTGCCGCTAAAATTATTAAGAATCCTCCGGGAACAATTTCATCAGCTCTAGCATCTAAAAATGTTCTCATATCATTCTTGAATTGAGATGCGTATGCATCGGCTACTTCTTTCACATAACCGGTGCATTGAATGCTACCTTTGTTCCATGCTGGAGATTTCGTATCGACAACTTCTTTTGGCAACTCAGACAGCCAGTGCAATGCAAAAGAGAGATGAGCTAAATGGATGCTCGATTTCGGAAACAAGTGGTCGTAAAAAGAACCTGGCACTCCGGCTGCAAAGTATTGGCGAGAAGGAGGGAGAGACTTGAATAGAGTGTTGAAGTCGTTTTCAACAGTATCGTTGAAGAAGACTTGAAGCTCAAGGTTTAGGTTATGGGTTTGGTTTTCAGCTTTGTATTTTTGTTCTATAGCATCTATGATATTTTGTACTGCGATAAATGTATTAGGTCCGATAGAACATCCCAAATCAGCTATTCGAAATATATTACCGAGACAAAAGCTTTTCAAGTCGAGTTTCTCTAAGATGGCTCCATCAATCATCTCTTTAGCAGCATCAACTACTCCTCTCTGTAAAATATGGTTATATTTTGTTAAAAATATTCAGGTTCATCGGATAGTTCATATATATTCAAGTACAGAACTTGTTGCTTATAAATATTTTCTTAAAAATACATTAACATTCAGACATGAACACTACTACTATATATAAATAATAATTATATATAATAGATATGAATCAATCATCTATACTCTACCCATCAATTATGTATAGTCTACCCACCTGTAGAAATATGGAGAAAAACAAATTGACGAGATGAATTATAACCTGATAAGCAGAGTTTTTGGTGTAGCTATTGGGGCCGTCTCCTCCGTTCATGGCAAATGATTGTATCAATGGCTTCCCATTTTCTCCCATATCTCTCTCTCTCTCTCTATATATATATATATATCTCTCTCTCTCTCTCTCTCTCTGAGATTGATATATAACTCCCCAAGCGTATGGAATTTATATATAACTCACCAAATGTACGATATAACTCAATTATTCACTTAACGAATATAAAAAAGAGTACTGTATTTGATTAATGTATTCAACGTATCCAACTAATGTCTTCAAGTATACAACATGACATACGGATAGATACATATGCTTTACATGTTGCCTGTAATTAACTTATATATGTTGTTTTCCCTTGGAGAAAAAAAAACCTCTGTACGTTTCGATTTATTCAAGAAAATTATATATATATCGAAAGTCATTAGTCAATATTTGACCGCTCGTGTTCTATATATATATATATGTGAGTTTTTTTTATCGTACATATCTATATATGATTAGTTATTCAAGTATGTAAACTATGTATAATATTTTATGAATGTTTGAGCAATTTGCTTACGTTAATCCAAAACTATATACGATTTAAGCTACATATTAATGTTAACAGTCAACTAAATATGAAAAACTACAATAATTAGCTAGTATATTTACATATATGTATATATATATATATATAAGATAGTGTAATTACTGTTAAAATTAAAAAATTAGAATACAACTGTATATGTTGGAAATATATATATATATATCCGACAAGTTCATAAAAATCACATCTTATTCACACTGTCTAGGTTTCGGTCCGGACCCATCTCGCTAGTCTCACCAACCCACATTCCATCTTTTTCCTTTCAATTGGAGGCGCAGAAAAGTTTCCAAGAAAACTTAAACAACAGCAAATATATATAAGTTATATGTATAAACAGTTAGAATATATATGCAATTTACATATAAGCATACATATATATATATAATATACATATAGCTTATATATATATACATACATTAAGGAAAAGTTTGTATTGGACTTTCTAAATTTTAATCATATAATTTTTTTTTATTGTTAGTAGATAATAATATACATATATATATATATATAAAGGAGGGTCAATTGAGATTATTATTTTATTCTCAAATTCAAACCTACCAATTTGATGTAACACAAACCTAAAACTCGTATGAAACCAACTTACATCTACTTAATTTTAATTAAAATCCAAAACGAATATATGCAGAATAATATAATGGCCAACCATGTCGTTTCCTAAATATAATATTATCCGGTCCCGAAATTTAAGTAGAGAATTAATTTTAAAATTAAAAAATATATACATAAAAATATAAATTTTAAATTTATAAATTTTTATTTAATATAAAATTAAAAAAAAATAAATGGATGATTTTAAACAACTCATTTCAAAATCAGAGTAAAAGAAATGACTGATAAGCCGGAAACTGTGGGTAAAGTCCAGCAGCGGTGCCGCAAAAAAAATTAAAAATCACCTCTAATGAACCCATTCCTATTTCCCATTCCGTACGTTTTTTCACTATTTTGTTTTATAACTGAAGAAAAACATCCAGCCGCGAAGGTGGTCCGGTGGAGCCGCCGTACTAAAAAATTCTGTCATCGGTAAGTTTTTATTTTTCGACTTTTTTCATACAACCGAGACCATTTAACCTATTTTTTCGCAGGGATAGATATAAAACCGGCCAAAATCGGTCAAAACTGGAAGAAAACGGCTAGTCGGAGGTAAACCACCATCACGGGCGACGATGATTCTGCCATGTCAAAATTCCAAAATTAGCTAGAAAAAAATTTTTAACACCGATTTTAGATTATTTTAGATATTTTTAAGTACATAAAGCGTGTTTTTACCTCCACAGAAAAATTCAGAAAACTCAGGGACCGCTAATAGGCGTAGTAGAAAGTTTAGTGTTTCAGACACTGATTCGGGTAAGAATCACTCACCTTATTCCATATTATACAATTGAAGTCTAATTATCAATAATACGGTATTTTGCGTAATTTAGAAAGTTTCGAGAATTAATTATAGGTTACTAATAGAGTCAGAACTGGTTATTTATTATTGTTATCCTATTTAACCGATTGTTTGATTTATATCGGTAAAATGATTCAGTTGTGTTTTCTTGATGTATATATTGTTTATCTTTTGTTGATTTACGGTTAAATTGCGAAACTGAAAATTAAAGGTAAACAGAAAATTGATTAGTTAAGTAAATGAATGAATGATAATCTTACTGAATATCCTGGGAGATGGTGGACAGATCGGGTACATAGAGAATCCTACCGTAAACATCGCCTCATACCAGACGGGATATCGAGAATTGGTATTTTTTGCACTCATATCGAACGGGGTATGAGGACGGTCTGTTTCACCCTCATACCGGACGGGGTATTGAGAGTTCGTATTTTTTGCATTCATAGTGGACAGGGTATGAGACGGCCAGTTAGTTAACAAGGTTGGATATTGGTTTACGCGGAGTAGGACATCCCTACGGACCCCTATAGATACCAGTAGGCAAATAAAAAAGAAAAGTTGTTATTCTTACTTATTTTAATATAAGATTATGATGTTGTTGAGCTATTGTCTGTATAGATCGGTTTTGTAAATCTCACAACGATAAATATGCAATAAATAATTTTATTAATTATAAATAAATTTATTTAAATTAATAGTTTCATTGGTTGTGTCTATAATTTTTACTAACCTTTATTTTCTGTATCGGTGAGTAGTGTGATATTCTTGTTATATTAGTATAATTTACATTTTCATTAACTATTTCAAATCAAGAGGATTAAGACTCAGATCTGGATCAACAAGACATGTATATATCTCTTTCTCTCTCTCTTTGAGATTAATATATAACTCCCCAAGCGTATGGAATTTATATATAACTCCCCAAGTGTACGATATAACTCAATTATTCACTTAACGAATATAAAAAAGAGTACTATATTTAATTAACGTATTCAATGCATCCGACTAATGTCTTCAAGTATACAACATGACATATGGATAGATACATATCCTTTACATGTTGCCTGTAATTAACTTATATATGTTGTTTTCCCTTGAATAAAAAAAAACTGTATATGTTTGGATTTATTCAAAAAAGTTATATATATATCGAAAATCATTAGTCAGCATTTGACCGCTCACAGTCTATATATATATATATATGTGATTTTATTTTATCTTATATATCTTTATATGATTAGTTATTCAAGTATGTAAACTATGTATAATATTTTATGAATGTTTAGCAATTTGCTTACGTTAATCCAAAACTAATACGATTAAGCTATATATTAATGTTAAGAGTCAACTAAATACGGAACACTAAAATAATTATCTAGTATATTTACATATATATATATATATATATTTATAAGATAGTGTAATTACTATCAAAATTAAAAAATTAGAATACAACTGTATATGTTAACTTATATATATATTTATATAAGTTATATGTATAACCAGTTTGAAGATATATACAATTTACATATAAGCATACATATATATATATAATATACATATATATACAAAAGAGGGTCAATTGAGATTTTCAAATTCAATAAACCTACCAGTTTGATGTAACACAAACCTAAAACTCGTCTGAAACCAACTTACACCCACTTAATTTCAATTAAAAATCCAAGACGAATATTTGCAGAATAATTTACTGGCCAACCATGTCGTTTCCTAAATATAATATTACCATAAGTGAATTAAATATATCGATCTTGGTCAACCTATTTGAAAGGTCAACATATGAACCAATTAATGTTCGTCTAGTCGAAATTTCTTGGTGATTATGGACAAATATTTTACCGTTATTAGTTATAATATATATATATATATATATACATATATCTATAGTATTTTGTATAAATACATTTTTTACCCAAGTATTGTTATGAAATTAATTTCGTTTTATGTTATAAATAATGTTTTTTAATTAATAATTAATTTCTATTTATTGTTAAAAATTAATAATTTCGTAATTAAATTATATGGTTATTGTACTATATATATGTATATTGGTGTGACTTAATTTTAAGAATATTTTATTTATATTTTGAGCGATATTTAATGTATATATTTTGAGAGAGATTTTATATTTATTTCAAAGAATATTTTATGTATGTTCTGAAAATTTTTGTGGGATGAAAATTCTCTCGTAATTTTTCTTTATATGAATTTATAACTTTATTAATAATATAATATCTCATTTGATCATAATATAAAAGTTTTTTCTGAGCCTTACCCGTATGTATAAACACAGTTGATAAATAACGTTAAATATCAAATTTTTTTCATCTACTTTTTATTTTATTGTGATCGTGCGCAAATTTAGAAATTAATTTTTCCATCAGTTTCTATTTTTGATACAGTGAATTGAATTGTAATATGTATATATGATATTTATATAATAAGTAAGATTAAAAAAGTTATTTTTGGTGACAAACACATACTAATATCATATGAATGAAAATAGATAGATATTGATATATATATATATATATATATGTATTTAATATAGTTTCAACTATACCATAAATCCAAGAAAGGGAAACAAACAAGAACAAAAGAAAATTTAGTACTTGGCCGGAATAGTTGAAAAGACAGCAGAGGAATCAGATGATGTCTTATTTATGTTTTGTAGCCTATAATTCTTCAAAGTCTTATCCTACGTTACTTAATTTCCTGTTGGTTTCCTGTCCTTTATATAACATAAACTATATATATATATATATATGTCAAAATCATCTAACTAAAATTAATAATATTTTAGTTTAATTAAAAAAAATTTACCATTTAAATTCGAATAATCTCAAATTTATTTTAAGATTACCCACTTTATCGATGTATCTTTTTTTATATAACGATTATCTATTATTTTGAGCGTTTCTTCAGTTGATTTCAACTGTTACGAGTGGATAAAAAAATAAAATATCATATTAATGAGTCATCCACTTAATTACTGAAATTAATATAATAAATTTGATCTAATCAATTTTAGAAAAATAATAAATAATTTCTATGTATCATGATAATTTTTTAATTTATTTACATTTTAAACTTTTATAATCTCTCGAAATTACCATAACTTAAATCAAATTGACACTAAAATACTAGAATGAATACTTACATTATACTACTTCTACATGGTAAAACTTTGAAATATATATAATTAAAAATCATGGGGCATAATTAATGGAGAACAAATTAATTAACTTTAATTTCAAAAAAAAAATAATTTTATTCAATAAAAGAAAATATAAGAAGTTTCTACCTTCTTTTTCTAATTTCTTTTTAAAAATTAATTTTTTTTTAAGTGTTTTGGTAAATTTAAAAATTGTAACAAAATTTCAATCCCATACATATATGATATGCTGGGTAATAAAATGTATTTTTTTTTTGTATTTTTATTATAAAATTATATTATAATAATTATTTATATATTATCAAATTAATAAAATATATAAACATTTATTAATTAGAGTAGTTTATTTAATACTGATGCCTCTGCACTGGCATTGAAGCTGCCAAATGATAAGCACTCTCACACTCTTACTAATTCATTTTCCGCTTGAGAAGAAGGAATAACTCTAAGTTCTGGCGGCACTCTGCGCCGAAATAATTTGGAGGATTTTTCGCAAATTTTTCAGCGTAATATGAAAATATCTCCTTGATATCGATCTCATCCCCGAGGTGTTTCTCGATGAATCCTTCCACAATAGCTCTTATTAGAGAAGCGATAGCTTGTAGAGATGGTGACGATACAGACTTCACTGGATGATCGAAAGCGATCATTCTCTCGATGCTAAAACATCCGTTTTCCTCTATCAACTCCTTCAATTCGGTAACGTGTGGAATATACATTGGCAAATTGAAGGAGTCGACCTTCTCCTCGCTGAGTAAACCCTGTCAAAACGAAAAATTCTTAGTAAGTTTCTCTCTACTACCAATACTTTTTTAAATATAAGACTTGTCCAGTTAAATGGTTGATGAACTCTATAAATTGCTCTCATGTCGGGTAATACTAGCAACGAGTTTTTTGGAAAACCAACCAGTTCGGATCCAATAAATATCTAGAAACTGATTGTAAATTACCAAGCGGCTAGATTACCAATTTGGCCATGTCAATGAGGGAGAACGGAAGGACTTCATAAGCCATTAGAATGGCAGGGGGAATTTTTTTGAAATGTCAAAAAAGTAAATATTTCGGCTGTTTAAACTGCCGGTAAAAGTTTTTACAATTACCAAGTCGATGAATAATACTAGAGCTGATAATTTTCTTACCATTTTAACCATGTCATGGAGGCAGGATCCGAGGAAATCATAAGGCATACCCATGGCAGTGTGAGACATAGGAACATCATCTGGCAGACTTGATTCCAAGATTATAATCAACCCACCTGGCACAAGTTCTTGTGCTCTAGCATTCAATATTCTATTCATGTCTTTCTTGTACTGACAAGCATATACCTCCGCTACCTCTTTCACCAACCCGGAGCAAAATATACTGCCTTTATTCCATGCTGGAGATTTGGAATCAACAAGTTCTTTTGGGAGCTGGGACAGCCAATGCAATGCATATGAACTGTGAACCAAATGGAGGCTGGAGTTTGGAAATAAAACACCATGAAAACTACCCGGTACTCCAGCTGCAAAGTATGATCGAGACGGAGGTAAAGCCTTGAAGAGAGTGTTGAAGTCGTTATTGACTTGATCGTTGAAGAATACTTGAAATTCAAGGTCTAGAGGGTTATGATTTTCATCTTGGTATTTTTTTTGTACAGTGTCTATGATGTTTTGTATTGCGATGAATGTGTTGGGTCCAATAGAACAGCCTAAATCGGCTATGTGAAATTTGTTATTGAAACAAGGGCTTTTGATCAAGTCAAGGTTAGCTGAGATTCCCTCATTGATCATCTCCTTGGCAGCTTCAATAACACCTCTCTGCATATAAAAAAAAAAAAACGTTTGGAAAAATTTTAGAAGATAAACTATCTCTATATAATATTTTGTTAGAAATGAAACGAAAAATGATCTGTCTGGTAAGACAAACAAGCAAAAGGCTGCTCATAAATTTTATGAATTAATACAAGAAAAATGTTATATATATAATTACATGTATATATATGTGACATAGATATTTTACCTGATACCAAGAGTTATGAGTGTAGCTGTTGGGGCCATCTCCTCCAGTCATGGGGTATGCTTGCTTAGCCTCCTTCTCTGCCATGATTATCTACCTCTCTCTCTCTCTTTCTGCAATCACTGATGATGAAGATAGTTAAGTATTCCAACATTGTAATTATATATATATATATATGGATGTATGTATGTATTCTTTTTGAAACTCTTCTCTCTATCATAGTAATCATCACCAAAGCAATCACACCTGAATTTACAAATATTATTTATACTCTGCAATATCCATTTCGAGCGGACTACACAATGCAACGCGTAAAAACCCGGATACCTTCGTAGTTGTGTAAAGAAATTGAAGGTCACCACAGAGGCAGTCTAGTACGTAGATTAATTGTGTGCTTTATCTCTTAGAATTAAAGTTTTTGTAAGGATCAAAGTCAATATAATATATATATATATACACACATATATTCCCATTGCAGAGAACGTCAAGCTTTTTGCTCTTGGCTTCTATAAAGAAGAGATCTTAGCAATGTCGTTTTATAGTTTGGTTCTTTTTTCTCTACAAGAAATGAAAAAGGAATAATACCCAAAAAAAAAAAAAATAGACATTAAATTCAACATTAAGATTAATTTTTATTATTTTAGGAATAATTTTCACAAACTTCTAATTTAATTAAGTACGAAGTTGTAAATAACTTCTATAAAAAGTTTAAATTTATTCCGAATACGACGGAAGCCAAATAACTTGTCACATGTAAGTTTAGCGCTTCAGAGTTACAAATAACACTTCTGGTACTTTGTAGTCCTTGTTGGTAAGGACACATGAGTCTGTGATCTTCTTCTCAAATTGGTAGAACACTTTATCGACAATCTCGCTTCCAAAGTGTTTCTTGACTAGTCCCTCAAGGCCAGCTCGAAGATTCAAAACCGTTGATTCAGCATCTGAATTACTCGGGATAAGCCATGATTCTATTCTCTCAAGCTTGAATTGTCCGTTTCTTTCGATCACCCCCTTTAGATATTCCAAAGTTGGAATATACATTGGCAGGTTGAAGGAGTCAACTTTATCTTCACTAACCAACCCCTTCACAAATGATTACTTACATTAGTCGAGTCTAAAGTAATTCAACTTTATGATTCATGGAATATGTAGTCCGGTTATAAACCATAAGCATATACATGAGATGTGTATAAGTATATATATTTGAATACTCACCGTGCTGACCAAATCCATGAGAGCAGACCCAAGAAGGTCAAAGAGTTCCGTGAGGACACACTTACCATTAGGAGGGACACTAACCATTATCAAAACCATAAGTCCTCCAGAAACAAGTTCTACTGCCCTTGCATTCAAAAATGAGTTTATGTCCTTGGAAAATTGCATTCCATAAGCCTCTTCAACCTCCCTCGGGGAGCTTGTAAAATAAACCTTCCCTTCATTACATGCTGGAGAATCTTTTTTTACCACCTCCTCTGGAACTTTTGACAGCCACTGAATGGAACTTGAGGAATGAAAAAAATGGACACTATCGACCGGAAATAGACGACCATGAAAACTACCTGGAACACTGGCTGTATAGTATGGCCTATCATCAAGGGAAGGAAGGGACTTGAAAAGGGTGTTGAAATCATTGGTGACATGATCATTGAAGAACACTTGAAATTCAAGAGGGTCTGAACCGGGTAGTCCTTGTGATTGGGACTTAAGCTTTATTGATTCTATGATGTGTCGCACAGCAAAGAATGTATTTGGTCCAACTGAACATCCCAAGTCTGCAATGCTAAGTACTCTTCTAGAAGAAGAAAGAAGTTGTTTGACATCGAGATTTTCATCAATTACCTCCTGGATCAGGGCCTTGGCACTATCCAGTCCCCATTTCTGAAAAGTGAAACAACGAGCACATCACCAACATAATCTTTATGTTATATATTTTCATAATCTGATAGATTCAGCCATAGCTGTATATGCATACCTGGGGAGAGGAATTGCGATAGTAGCTATATTTTCCATCACCACCATTCATGGGAAATTCATTCTGATCAGACTCCATGTTCTTCAATATGTTACGTATGTTGATTGGCAAATTTAATCTGCAGAAAAAAGTTTGCGGTGTCACTAGAATCACAAGAGTCAACCGTCTTTTTTTAATAATACTCATTCTTTCCTCGTGACATCAGTGAAAACTTACACCAGAAGATTGAAAAATAGAATTATCACTATACTTGGTCAAGTCAAATTAATTAAAGTGTTCCAAAAAAACACATGTTATAAACGTGCTATAGATTAGCATTTAGTTCAAAGTCACTTTTGTTTGAGTCCCCTGTTGGCTTATGTAAGTATCCAATCACGGCCAGGTCATTTTCATGGGGAAGAGATGCTTTTCTTTGTTGAAATTTCAGATTCCATTCTTTTTTCCTTGTCTTCTATAAGTTAATATCTTATTAACAATCTCAGCAACAAAATAAAACACAGAAGATAACATAGCTAGACTTCTAAGTGTACACAACTACATCCAGAGAAATTATTCACTGTGTTCTCAAAAACATACTAAATATTGTAGTTAAATCAGGTGGGAGACAAATAAACGATTATGTCTATCGAAAGATAGTAAAACAAAATAAGAACATTTATAAATGCAATTATTATTAAGAACTTTTGCAGATGCACTGAAATAGCATTAATTCTATGAACATAGCTATTAATTCTACAATGTTCATGAACGTGGTGAACTTTTAATTTCTTAATTTTCTATATTTTAAATTATTACTTTTCCTATAATTATACCATAAAAGTACAGAAAATTCTTTAGCCATCATTATTTATTAAGAACTAATTCAACTATGTCTGCTAAAAATATGAGATATATATTCATACTCAAATCTATAAGAATAAAAAGATGCTATACAACAAGAATATATATGTAGTATATATGAATTTGAACTCTGTTCTCTTATTTTCCAATAGACACACTAGAAACGTGAAGATTTTAGGCTGAGGCACATTTATTGCAATAACTGAGACTAGTTTCTATCATATCTTATCTTTACACGTACTATGAGCCTCTTCCATTCATTTTCCTATGACTGTTGGGAACCCAAGTGGGAAGATAAGGTGTAAGGTTTATCAAGAAAGGAAGAATTAATTTACAAGTTTTGAGTACCTGTCTTACTCAAAAGACCATTAGATTTTCTCTTAATGAATCCATACTATTTAGAAAATCATAACTAGATCTACCATTAGAGGCTAACAGATTAATATTAGTCAGTTGTTATGGGTGAATCCTAGTCCATGTTCGATAAATTTTTGAAGAAATATCATGAAAACCAAGAATAAGACAGATTGAAGTTTGCATTTTTTGCAGACCAATTGGAGGAGATCTCAGACTGTTTTCTTCAACGAGAGGCCAGTGAAGCAGGCAGTCAATCCAATCATCCTCAGTAGTCCGACACTGAACTCCCACACTCGCAAATCGGTCAAAACCCAACGTACGATCTACCCAACACCACAACATGCGCTCTGCATGAAGCATAAGACTGACCTCAAAACACTCCAAGAAATGCTGTGCTCCTTGCACATCCACAGCCTGTTGTGGAGTGTGAGCGTCCTTTTTTTACCGCGTTATATAATTCAGCTGTTTAACAATTATCATGAGTCGGGCCAGAAAATATTGAAATAGAAGAAAACTGTTTGAGGCATCTTCAAGGCATTTCTTTTATGATGGGTCAGCTATCCATGCACGCTGCAGCCACCAACACATTTCAGTTTTGGACATACACTAGAGCTGCATGCCACTGCAATGAAGAGGCCGTCCCTTCAGGAGATTAGGTGCAAAGATTGTGCTTTAATTCTGATAAAAAATTTGAACAGGGTCACTGTTATAAGAATTGTGCTGGTGAAAAGTGGAAGACTGCACTTCCAATGAAAAAAATTCTGAAATTCCAGCATTGCCAGGACTAGTAACTGTTGCAGCGGTATAAATTTGCACTTGAGGACAAACGCCATTTCACGGAGGAAAGTGATACTAGGAACCCCAGTGGGAAGATAACACCTTTTCATAAGGTGTATCAAGGAAGGAAAATTAATTTACAAGTTTTGAGTATTTGTCTTACTCAAGATATTGTTGGGTTGTTTCTTAAAGAGCTCACACATTTAGATCAAAATACGTCAAGGAAGAACACAAAAAACAACCTTCGATACCTACTGATTTTGGGTTAATCGCTTATAACGAAATCCATAAACCAACACTGTAACAATGACAGAGTAAAAAAATCCTCACTGATTTAGATGCTCTAGTTAGGTCGAGCTCCTGAATCTGCATTAAGGATTTTTTTAGCTTCTAAGGGGGATAGAATAAGGGAAGTGTCACAATGATGTGCAATGCCAAATGCCTGAAAGCTATTTTCTGGTATATTACACCAAATCCCCACCTTAAATATGTAGTTCACAGTCATCCTCATTAACAATTCCTATCATCAATCATAAAAAAACAATGCTTCATTTGTTAGTGAGATTATCAATAAGATACCTATTTATGTGACAAGCTCGTTTGAGGACAATAGTAATAGTTCAAATTAAACATTTTACAGCAGTTAAAAATTCCTAAAATCTAGCTACGCCTACTGCCTCCTCCCCGCTTTTATTCAAAACAGAAAATACACAGAAGAGAGGAGTTTACCTGCATGTCTACTTGTTGATCTTGCAAAGATTCTTGAACTAGAATGTTAAAAGAGCTTCAAGTTGTGTTGTCCTACTTCAATGGTGCTGAAATCCTTCAAATTCGATCTAAACTCAAAACTAGCAATTTTCTTTAGTTTCCTACAAAGCTCTCCATCTATATTACAATTACCATCATCTAGCAGCCCTTCTGTGTATGAGTGACACGTTTCACCTTTGAATAGATATCCCTTTCTCTAATCAATAAGCAGACATAAGCATCTTGAAATTAAAGACTTCCATTAAAGTAAAATCACATTTTTGGAAAAGATTTTTGGTTTGGACTAAAAATTTACAAAAAGAATGAACTATGCATATATACAAAATGGATGCACATATGTATGCATATATATATGTGTGTAAAGATATATGTACTGTAAGGAAACAATTAGCAAGAGGAGGAAGCTTGAAACATGAGATCTTGAGGGTGTTGATGACAAGAAGCCAAGCAACCATTATCTCTTCTCCTCCGTAAAGCTTTCCTCCTTTACCCATTTGCTTTTCTCCTTCGTCTTCAGTAAGTACTTATACAATCCATTGAAAGGAATGAAGCTGTAATGCAAAGCAGTCCGCAGCCCGCAGCTCTCAACCCGCAATTCGCAATCAGTCCACAGATCTTGTGTCTATAAAGTGCAGGATAATTTTCTCTTGTAACAAATTCTGTTATTCAATTGAATTTGCTTGCATGCTGCCAACCCATTTTCATACCAGAATACTAGAATACCAAAATATTCTGATATATTCCCTACTTACCAGTTATGGCTGACCACTCACCCCTTTCTCTTCCTATAAATCTTGTTGATATATTCTTCTTCATAAAACACACAAAAAAAAAACAAAAACAAAAAGGCTGTGAATTGTCCAGTTCTTTGAAATTAATACAATTCCCATTTTACATTTCTCTTAAGTCCTTTTCCTTTTTTCTTTTTTTAACTTGGTATCAGAGAAGGAATTATAGCGACAAACACCAATAGTAGCACCACAAATTCAACCGCTGCAAGTCGACAATCTGATGCTCCTGCCACCCGAATCCAAGCTTTAGCTGGAAACCCATTGAGCTCTCTCTGTGCTGTAAAGCTAAATCATGATAACTTCCTATTGTGGAAGAATCTTGTTCTTCCTATTATAAGGGGGAACAAGCTAGAAGGATATATAACCGGCGCGAAACCTTATCCGCCAGAGTTCACGAAGAAGAGTGTTGAAGGGACGTCTCAAATCGAAACTATTGTTAACACAGATTTTGAAGATTGGGTTGCCCAAGACCAAATTTTGTTGGGCTGGCTTTACAACTCAATTGAGACAAATGTAGCCGCGGAACTGATAGGCTACACAACCTCAAAACAACTTTGGGAAGAAATAAGAGACATCTATGCAGTTAAGACACGATCCGATGTCATTTATTACAAAAGGGAATTTGTGAACCCCAAATAACAGAAGAAATCCAAACAATAGAGGTGGACACTCCAGCCCAAAGAAAGGGGGAAGAGGAAATAACAACACCAGACCTTTGTGTCAAGTTTGCGGCAAAATCGGGCACACTGCTGCTTTTTTGCTATTACAGGTACGACGACTCTTACATGGGAAGCATTCCAGAGAATAACAGCAGAACACAGCATTCTGCTTTCACCAGCTCAACTAAAGTAATGTTTGTAGACCCTGCTTGGTACGCAGACAGTGGAGCCAGTGCACACGTTACCAATGATGAACACAATCTCCAGAACAAGCAACTCTACACTGGCAATGAAGGGCTGGTAGTCGGGAATGGTAAGAAATTGCCCATTAAATACATTGGTAACACTTCTCTTTGCACCTTGAACAAAGAAAAACTCTCACTACGTAATGTGCTATGTGTTGCTGAAATAGAAAAGAATCTGTTAAGCATATCACAATTAATTGTTTCAAATAGAGTTGATGTTCTTTTTTATTCTTTTGGCTGTATTGTGAAGGACAAAACCTCAGGGAAAACGCTGCTGCTGGGAACCTAAAGAACGGACTCTACCAGCTTGAGCTTCCTAACCAAGCCACTCTTCAAAGACAGAACCAAATCCAAGCCTTCTCTGCCTCAAAAACCAACAAACAATTTAAGTCTTTTCCTAAAGAAAAAGAATCCTCTCAACTTTGACACAAACGTCTTGGACATCCATCATTAGCTACTTTGTCTTTAATTTTCAAGAAATGTAACAAAAGCTTGAATTTGAATGAAAAGGCATTTTGTGATTCATGTCAACTTGGCAAATCACACTTGTTGCCTTTCAATCTTTCAAAATCACATGCAACCTCTCCACTTGAAATCATTCACACTGAAATTTGGCGGCCTGCTCCCCTTAGCTCACCTTCTGGTTTTCGATATTATGTTGTATTCATTGACGAATTTAGTCGATACACATGGCTATATCCTCTAAGGCAAAAATCAGACCTACTACAAACCTTCAACCAATTCAAGACACTTGTGGAAAACCAACTAACAAAGAAAATCAAAATCATCCAATCAGATATGGGAGGAGAATATATTAGCCTCACCAAAATCTTAGAAACTAGTGGAATACATGCCCGGTTCTCTTGTCCCTTCACCTCTGCCCAGAATAGGAGAGCCGAAAGAAAACATCAGCCCATCACTGAAACCGGTCTCACTCTTCTAGCCGAATCCAAGGTCCATTTAAAATACTAGGTTGAAGCTTTCGAAACAGCAACATATCTCATCAACAGGCTTCCTACACAAATCATTGATAACTTTTCACCACTAGAAAAATTATTTGGAAAAACACCTAATTATCACTCACTTAAAACCTTTGGCTGCTCCTGCTTCCCGTCTTAGGCCTTACCAAAATCATAAATTTGATTTTCACTCAACCAAGTGCGTATTCTTGGGTTACAGTCCACACC